TTACCTTTTAGATTAACCTCTTTTGAAGCAGGAATAGTTACTTTATTTTACAGTCATACAGAACCTTGCTCAGTGGTGGTAACCTTATACCTAAACTAAATTATGACTTAACTGGCATCATTGAAATCAGTAGGAAAAATCTCATGACTGGAATATTAGTATCCTTGTTCAGGGAGGAGAAAAAAGGGAGTAGACATCAACTACAAACACAAACTTGTTCTGAGGTCCAGAAGGAGGAGTGAAGCAGACGAGTTGAAAGTATCTGGGTAGGGATAAAAGGGCAAAAGGAAAAAATCGTGGGGCGGGGAAGAGAGGTCTACTATCGACCATCACATCAGGAAGAGAAGATTGTGGATGAGGCATTTCTAGAAAAAACAAAAGACAAAACCTGGTGTTAATGGGGTCTTTAACTAAGAAGACATCCAATGGAAAAGTAATACAGCAGAACCAATGTATCCTGTAAGTTCTTAGAAGGTAGTGGGTATAACTAGGAGAACAAACATTCTAGACTGGATTCTGACTAACCAGAAGGATTTGCAAAAGCGGCGAGGAGTCCTGTGGCACCTTATAGACTAACCGAAGTGTTGGAGCATAAGCTTTCGTGGGCAAAGACCCACTTGTATGTAGTGGAAATGTCCAGAGGCAGGTATAAATATGCAGGCCAGAATCAGGCTGGAGATGACGAGGTGGATCCAATCAGGGAGGACGAGGCCCACCAGCAGCCGACCTGGAGGTGCGAATCCCAAGAGAGGAGAAGCTGCTTCTGTAGTTAGCTAGCCATTCACAGTCTTTGTTTAATCCTGAGTTGATTGTGTCAAACCCGAAGATGAACTGTAGCTCAGCAGTCCCTCTCTGAAGTCTGGTCCTGAAGGATTTGGATATGAACCTAAAAGACTGAAAGCATTTATCATGAAAGGGACCATCATGAAATGATAGATTTTATTATTCTAAGAAAAGGAGGAAGCGAGAGAAGCTGAAGAAGGATGATGGAAAAAATAAAGACAATGACCATTTACAAAATCAGAACTGGTAGGTAAGGCCAATAAGAAGAAAATCTCAGGGAAAAAGGAGAGCTGGAAGTTTCTCAGAGACCATATTAAAAAGCACAAAGCTGACTCACTCCAATGCAAAGGAAAGAGGAAGAATAGTAGTTTTTTTTTCCCCTCAACCAATTCTGGTAACTCTTTTTTTTGCTTGACAAATTTTATCCTGGCAACCCTAGGGGTTCCTTGAAATTCTTTTAAGCTGAAAAGGGTTCTGTGGCCAAATAAATTTGGGAAACACTGCTCTAGAAGACCTGGAACCTGAGAGGTTTTGATAAAAAACTCGAGAGCTGTAGGTCTGTAGGGAGAGAATCCTGGAACATACATTACTCACAGACTAAGAGCTTCAAGGATGCTTAGTGGATCCATTTAGGAGTCAACAGACTTAGGCAGTGTGGCTTAGTGGGCAAGGCCCTGGACTAGGATTTAGGAGGGCCAGGGTCAGTTCACAGTTCTGCTGCTGCTTTGCTGGGTGACCTTAGGTAAGTCACTTCCCTCCCTGTCCTTCAGTTTTTCCATTGGTAAAACAACGATGAACACTGAACTTTCTGTAGAGCACTTTGAGATCTATGAAGGAAAAGCACTATAGAATAATTAGTTTTATTCTCATATAGCCAACTGGCAGCTACTTAGTCTGGTAACAACCAGGCTGCTCTTACTGTCCTTACTGAGGGCTGGAAAACACCCAGCATACAGTGAGCACTACTGTATACAAAAAATAAGAAGTAAATTAACAAAGCTTCCAGTTCCAGGAGCAAAACATTTTCCCTCACTTTTTAATTTGACCCTGAGAAGGCACTACTGTTGCTTCTCACATGTGTGGCAACCAAATCCAGAGGAAATCTTGAGAGGTAAAAGCACCTTCCCAACTGTTTGCTACTGTAGGAAGTTGTTCTGATGACTTTCTTGGGACAAACATTTACCTTGAATTGAATTGGGCCCATTCAAAGCTTCCTCAGTGATGCAGAAGAGAATCTTGTGTTTCTGAAAATTCCATGGATAAATCAGGAACATGTGTAACATTCAGCAGTACGTCACCAACACAGAATAGATTTAATCACTTTCTCACAAAAGCAAGGGGAATACTTGGTGAGTTCCCAGAAGAAATACTAATTATGAACTATTTCTTTGGGCAACTTGTACTAGAACCAGGAATGTCTGATAGAACGCCCAGAGGCAGGTCAGATCCTGATTGAAGAGGGTAGATGAACGCAAGAGACTTACTGACTGAGCCTTCTGACTGTGTATGTAGAGACAATATTTTGTATTGGTTGGTCATCAAGTCCTTTATGAGCTTTCTGTCACAGTTTGGCCATTGGATATATTAATAGACTGGTAAGCAAAGGATGGAGAGATGCCTAAGGCAAAATGCAGGTAGCATTGATACCACTAGCAAATTGGCCCATGAGGACAGGCTCCAATCCTCAAGCAAATCTTATCAGAATGGTCTGAATTTCATACAGGAATGAGCCTTGTACATTATTATTCTGCCTGGAAAGAACCAGTATTTGGCAGAACTTGTCTGTTCTCTCTAGCTAGCAAGGATTTTGAATGAATCCCCTCTCCCTGCACACTCATACTCAAATAGTCCTCAGAAAAAGGAATATTTGTTTCTGGTGAAATAAAATCTGCAATTGCATGTTTCCTTTTCCCAAAGAAAGAGAGGAACTTCTATGGAGGGATTCTCTCAGGTCATTTTGAGCCCATCTGTCCAATACTAATTTTTAAATTCAATTTGCAAGGCTTGAGAGCTATGGAAGAAAGCTTTATTCCAAGGGAAAAAAACAGTGGAAATCTATGTTTTTTCCCTCCCTTTCTACTCTTTTTTGATCCCATATTCTTTTGGGGTGCTTTTGTTTTGTTTATAGTACCTAACACAGTTTACAGAAGGCTTCAACTGACTGCCTCAGAAATGAGAATCCCCAGTCTAGTTGGCACCCCTGCTGTTAAATTGTCTCCACAGCCACAGTTTTTGCTGCTGCCCTAGTCTGAGGCCTGCCCTTTGGAGAGTCAAGAGAAGCCATTTTATTTTTTTTTAAATTAATCATTTGCAGATATAAGGGATGAATTGAGGGAGGGGACATATGCATGTGACACCAGTTCAGAAGTCCCTTGCTTGTGCCGTCGTGCTCTAGGACAGGGCTACTCAACACGCAGTGGGGCGGTTTGGGGCTCAACACGTGGCCCATGGGTGGGATCTTTTGAACATGGCCTCCACTGGGAACAAGCTCCACAATGGTGAGCATCTCCCAGGCAGGGGTGAGCACTGAAAGACGCACACGGACAGGCTGGCAGAAACAGACAGATACAGGGTGTCGGTGTTTCTAGCCCCCAGGGAGGAGTGCTGGGACTTTGTGCGAAGTGCGTTGTATTTGTGCCCGTCAGTGTGATAGAATCTATTTGCATAGATTTGCATGTATATACAACCACACTTACGTTGTGGCCATCGTGTCCTGTATCATTGTGGCCCCCAGGGTTCCAAAGTTGAGTAGCCCAGCGCTAGGAACTTTAAAGCTTTGCCGAAGTGGTTTAAAAACCACCTGCACAACAAAATGGTGCACTCTCCGTGATGTGATTTTAGAATTGGATCACAGCCTTTCTGATTGTCCATTGGAACTGGCAGGCTGATGGTCGTAGCAGCTGGATGAAAGCAGACAGACTCAAGCAGATGGCTAGCTAGGCCAAACTGGAACACACAATGGGAAACCGGCAAGAGAAAATCTTCTACCTGCAGATTCTAGCTATCTTGGTACATGCCGTGATGTTGTCAGTCCTAGGATTTGAGAGAGACAAGGTGGGTGAGGCAATATTTTTTTATTGGACCAATTTCTGTTGGAGAGACAGGCAAGCTACTTTGGTGGTAACCAGTCTGGGCTGGGTTGCTGTGCTACATTGATAGGACAAAGCAATCAGGTGCCACAGGGAGGCCAAACAAAGTCTGTTGGCACTAATAGGCTAGCAGTATGGGCTACATCATAAAGGAAAACAAATCCGGAAGACTGGATGAGGCCGCATGTGTGTTTTGGGGTTTTTTTTTTGTTTGAATTCTGGTTTTGGTTTCAGAACCCATAAGAGTCAGGTGTCCTGAGAGGGATGGGGCAACAGAATCAGTGAGGGGCTGGGGTTTCAAGAGACCAGCTAGAACTAGCTAACCCCGCTTTCTAGAATTACTGGGATAAAAATCTGGCTCCTGAGGCAGTGTGGAAAGGGTGGCAAAGAGGTTCATGTGCTGACCTTCTAACTTTACCAACTTCTGAGCGATGGCTCTTGGATACACTATTTCACCTCGGTCAGAACAGGAAATAGCCCAAAACTCAGCCTAGGACCTCTAGTTCGTTGCTTCCAGAACGCCAGGCCCTGCTGCTGCATTTCCACCCCACACAGTTGAAAGCTTGCCTGCCAACACTGAAGCTGCAACAGAATTACCTTGCTCTACAGTGGTAGAGATCCAGAGCTTTTTTGATTGTAATTGGTCCTGCTACGGAAAAATCAAAATCAAACACAATGGGAAGCCTGGAAACACAAAGACGAGAGTCCTAGGGGAACCTCCTGCTTCTTTGAGTGGAGATGAGACACTGTGAGACATCCAAGTCTTTGAACAGCTCCACCCCCTAGCAGTATATTGTCACTCTAGACCAGAGAGAGTAAATTCCATGCTCGGAAAATGAGTTATGTTTGGAAACACCATGTCTGGAAAATTCAGTTATGATAAAGCACTGGGTGCCCAGGAGAGGAAAAAAATCCTTTTGGACTTCACTGGGTACAGATTTGGGCCAATGCTGAATGCTATCAAAAATCCCACGCTAACTGGAAGAACTGACAGCATGTGTTCACCGTAATCCACTCCACCAAGTAAACCCTTGGTCAGGTTTCTCTTTTGTGTTACCTGTATTTGGAGCAAAGTTGTCCCCATTCTCATTTCCAGATTTGCAAATAATGTAAGCAGCAGCATTTTCATACGATGTATTTATATTTACATGGGCTACGCTGATCATACATATTAGAAACAATAAAAAAAGAAGTTAACTAAAATGTACATCATACACTTGTATATATATTTTTTACACAGAGGTATAAAGGCTTATAAAAATCAATACAACAGGGTTTTAACTTTTAGTATACAGGTACATTATGGATGTAGGCTTGAGGCACTTTAATTTGTTAATGTGAGAGCAATAGCTTGAAAAAAACCTTTTCACAACTGAAAAAAAAAGTTTTGGTTAATGTGTTGTTACCACAGATACAAAAATAAAATCTGGAGAATCTCTCTCAAATGATTGATGTCAGTATTGCAAAGCTGACTGGGAAAACACTACACACTGTTCAGCAGCAGTGTGGAGATCATTGAGAAATATTTACAAAGAATCCCTCCATTTTCTACCATTGTGCCCTTACACCTGCCTTCACAAAGCAAAGGGAAAGGCGTAACAAAATCTGCAAGTATTACAGAATCCAAAAGGGTTAAGGAAGAGGGATTTTAAAAAAGAGGACATACATAAAGGCTGGGAGTATGTCTGATTTAGTTAAATAAATAGGGGGCACTTAGTAGAGACGCAAGAAAAACTGTAAGATCTCTTCGTAGTGTTGTGCTTTGTAAGAGGCAAGACCTTACAGATGTTCGTTTATATGAAACAACTTTTGAAAAAAAAAAAAAAGAAGATTGTTCTATCACATCTTTTTGAGGCTGGCTTGATGTTTACTAGACACCATTGAGAGATTTGTCATTTGCGATCAGGCACAAAATATTAATATTTCATTTAGTGAACCCAGTCATGTTACACCAAGAGCAAAAGCCATCCCTTTCTATTACAATTCGATTTTTTAAACCTAGACCCAGCAACTGCTGCAAAATCAGTTTACCAAACTCTAGAGTCTACAAGCACGTTGCATAATTACGGATGGTTTACAAAAAAGCTGTGATTAGCTCTCAGAGGAACTGCTGGAACATTCCTACTCGAAAGAATGGCAAGCATTTCTTAAATCTACTTGGCAAAAATAAAAAGTTCCTTTCCTTTAAGACTGATGTCAATGTGCAATAAGAGGGAGGGAAGGGGCATGCACCCACTGGCAATTTACTGCAGAAAAAAAATTATGGCAGGAACAGCAGTGCCAGCTTTGACAAGCCAATCCCTAGCTGCCTCAAAATATTCAGATTGTACTATGCTAGTTATAGCTAACTGCTCTAAATCTTTCTTTAATAAAAATTATTTGGCTATTCCTTGTAATATATTAGAAAAATATTCTTTTCCCAGCTAATTACAAGCCTTGTACACAAGACATGACATTAATTGTTTTGTATTCTCGTCATAATGTATGCATAACACAACCCTCTGGATCCACTTGCTAGATCTGGGTGTGAACTAAGAGGAGGTGGGTGCAGGAGACAATTGGGCCCTGATCATGCAAACACTTAATCATATGATTAACGTTGCCTATGTGAGTAAGTGCTTCTGAAATCAATTGAACTACTCACGTGTATAAAAATTGCACATGCATAAGCATCTGCAGGGTCAGGTCCTTAGGACTCGTCTACACTAACTCCCCCTACTCTCAGTCAATCCAACCGTTGCAACTTCAGCTACACAAATAGTGTAGTTGAAGTTGACACACTTATGGTGTCTTCTACACAGTAAACTCAGCAGGGCCTGCTTCCTTTCTCATTGACTCCGGCTATTCTTCTCATCCTGGTGGAGTATGGAAGTCAATGGGAGAGCGCTTGGAGGTCGATTTATCGCATCTAAGTAGACACAATATATCGACTGCTGGTGGATTGATGCCCGCAGGATCGGTCCTCCATCTAGTGTAAACAAGCCCTAAATCAGGAAATGGGAGTGGCAGTTAAATTTAGACTTTTATTTTAAATACCTATTTAGAGTTACTCTAATATGTGGATTTCAGTGTGAATGTAAAATTCTCATGCACGTGTATTTATTTTATAGAACAAAATTCAATTGAAAAATATTTTAAATCCACCATTTGCCCAAGGTTTCTCAAAATCACAATGGATTATAGTACTACTATTGTGGATGCGCTAGGTATCACGTTGATTTTTTGCATAATACGAAAAAATTTTATTCAACTGAAATATTAGTGTTTTATTCTCAAATAAACACATAGCAGGGTAATGAAAAGTTCCTTTCTGTTATGTAGAATTCCAAAACTGAAGTTTTATTTGCAAAATTATTTAAGAAAAAAAACCCTACATTTAAATTTTCCTTTCAAGTATTGGTCTGAAATAAATGTAGCTTGGACAACTATCAGAGTCTCAAAAGTTAACTGAAAATAAGGCTCATTCCCCATATTAACTTATTATTTGAACTTTAACATCAGAGAAATAATTTAAGATGTTTGCCAAAAGAAATGATTAGGGACTTTAAAGAGAAACTGCAGCTTACATGAATATTTTGGCTTTAAAAAAACGGACAGTGACAGCAGTATTGTGTTGTGGTACAAGTTTGTTACTAGAACACCTTCTATACATATAATAACAGATCGCAGGTTAAAATACTTTCTTGGGTGGGATTTCATTCCATTACACCACATTTCTCAAAGTGCCAATACTTGCTAGGTATAGATGGCATTGCTCAAGGCAAGCTATGGCAAGACACGTCCACATTAGAGATGTTCTAAAATCCACCACCATCCACAGTTCAAATCCGAGTCCTTTTTTAACTGAAAAAAATATAAACATGTACACGACATTCTGTCTAATTACTGATTAATAATACAAAAGTCTACACTGTAGGTTAGTTTGTTAGAACACTTGAAGAGCAAATCAATGCAGAGTTGCCGCTGAAAAACCAAACAAATGATCCAGCTGGTTTCTGGACTCTGTTGGGCACACTGGCTGCATCAAAATATAAAGGATTTAAATGCTCTACACCAACGTGCTCCTTAACTACCGGGAAAGCATCACACAATTTAAACTTGTGTGTAGTCATCCAGCTGCTTTGTGTTTCCCACCACAGCACCTGCACATAACCCCGCAGTGGTAACAAGCCCGAAGGGGCAAGTAACAGCACATACATGGGGCAAAGAAGGACAAGGCGATAAGGGCCATCCACCGGAGGCAAAACTTTTCATCACTGGTGTCACAGGAACAAGGGTCTGTATAGTCTCCTTCTGGATCAGACATACAGTGATAGAGCATACTGTCCGCACACCACATACAGCTGACACGACGGATGCAGCTTCTGACGCGGTCTGGTGCGTCCTGACACTGACCCCGCCTGTTTTCCTCATGATTGAATATGTCCCTGCAATATACACACCGCGATCTCTCTCCATCTTCCTTCCGTCGTGGTTTGAACTTGACAGGCTGAGTCTTTATCACAGCACCCTTTATATTTTCACCCGGGTCAAAGTCTGAGCTGTCTACGTAAGGATAATTGTAATCGTGTTTTGAGGCATCACTTTTGGCAAAACGTACATACGAGTCCATGTCATCAGCATCGATGTACTTCCCCCGCGACGGGGCATGGCGGTAGTCCTCATAACCAGTCATCCAAATCTTTTCCCGAGGGTTAATGCGCACTATCTCCTCATCATCATCTGGAAAGCTGACGTGTCGATAGGGCCTTGGCATTGAATGCTGGAGAAAAGGCAAACAGTTTATTTTTCTATCAATGACTGGCAGAGGTGTTCAATATTTTTGATCACATTACTAAGCATCAGCAGTGCATTTGGGAAATAATTTTAAATCGTTGTCATCTTAGTGGTTTTTAAAAATGTTTCTTGATCATACACATTATTAAAATGCTAAAATTAACTTAATTTTCTTTTTGTTTTTGTATGCTACTGATTTTTGATTAACGAAGCAGACAAACCACTTTCACTTTATAGTGCGCCTCACTTTCTACACTAGCATAGTGGGAACAACCTTTCACATGCTGTTACCCTATTGTTGCAACAGAAAATAGCTTCAGAACCCTTTCACATGCTGTTACCCCATTGTTGCAACAGAAAATAGCTTCAGAACCTATATCCCACTTAGACACAAGGAAAGGCATGTTGTTCACTATGCACCCCCAACTGGCTGGACATGTTTGTAACTGCCACAGCGGCCTAGGTCAAGGTGAAAAATCCATATGCCAGCTCAGTGCTGCAGCTGTCTTTTGCAGATAGCACAGATGAATATTTATATTTGAATTAAAAGAAATCCAGCACCTTCTTTTCAATGACAACTTTTGAAAACAAAATTCTTAAGTCTCTTAATATTAGACTTTATACGAACTTGATGCTTGAACTTTCTCAGTAAGAACTTTCCTTTAGGTAAGTGCAATTAATAAGCATCTCACTTGTTCTAGTTGGTAGTGGTCGGAGCTATACTGGTCATGAAGGTGCCCATGAGTGCAAATTCTGCGATGTTCGCAGGATGTGGGAGAGGCTAGTGTCCGCAGAGGCTGTTCCCTTTTTTGAGAAGAATTAGAAGAGCTGTCTGTAGCATTCTATCATCAAAGAGAAGGAAAAGACAATGAATCAATTCATAAATCAATTTATTACTGCATATAGCATTAAGATGCATGCAGCCACTCACACACCTGCAATACTGACAACACACAACAGCAGATGTAAACTTCCCCTAAATGCTAGAAAAAAGCAGATAGATTTGTATGTAGGCCACAGAAGTTGCTACCACTGACAGACCATACAATATGCCATAGGCTATAAGTGCTTGGTGAGAGAACACAATTTCTATTTGCCTAGCATGTCATTTGCTGTAATGCACATTAGAAAGCAGAATGTTCACGCTATAACTCCTTTTGGATGGAAAAATTAACTGCATCATTGAAAGGAATTTAAAGAGGATGATTCAGACAATGTTAGACACGACTAACTGATTTATGCACGAAGAGTAGAGAGTCAGGCTGCAGAAGATTTAGTAATGCTCTCTTGCAAGTTTAAAAAAAAAAAAATCAAGTGAAACCTTCTTTCCAGTTTTCCAAGCACTTGCCTAATTCTTATGGATCACAAACTACTTAGGTAAAACAATCAACTTTTCTTTTTAAAAGCTTTTTTTAAAAAGTTGTCACCAATGTTCCATCCATGTGTGGAATAAATTACTATATGCACCAAGGCATATGTGAATGTGTACAATCAGCAGAAATAAAAGCTAGTTGTGGGTGCTCTGCTGATCAGCTGGGAGGCATCTCTCTTGAGTGGCCACACAAGCGCACAGCTTAAAAAGGAACACTGGTTGTTAACAATCTTAAAATTCAATGGATATTCTCCACTTTTCAAAAGATATGGCCAGTGTCCTCCCAGCCTAGATCTTGCCTAGAGTCTTGAGCTTTACTGGGTTTGACATTACTGCATCAGTATATGCAGTATCGCATCACAACAAATGCGTGATACATCATATGCTACCACCTCCACCAGGTTCTATAACAACACCTGCAGCTTCAGGTTAAGAATATTTCTCTTGAGGAAGAAATTCCAAGGGGTCTCAGCTTCTCTATTTGATCATAGATCTGAGGATATAACAAATACTTTACGGGCAGAATACTGACTCTGATATGCAAACAATATGCCTGGTATCTTGATTCAGACAAGGATCCCCTGAACCTTTTACAGAAACTGGTTCAATTTTTCACCTTTATTACATATAATCCAGAGTGATTTATTTAACAAGGTCTAAAAGTTCTCTCCCACTTGCATGAAATCCTTCATTGCATCCACACTGAAACTGTGCCAGTATACCTCATTGCACATCTTGGCACACCTGGCAAGAAACACTGGAAAAGTGGAAGGAAAGAAGTCAGAAACAATGGCTAGATACCAATGAGAAACACTGCACTGTTGCATGAGTCTGGAGTTGTCTTCAAGTATCAGAGAAAAATTCCTGTAGGATAACAACAACCCACAGCCAATCCACAGAGTATGGAGTTGTCAATTAGTATGCAGCCTAACACCATTTTTTTTTTTTGTCTCACGATGCCCCGGCATATCATTTTAAAAAGCCCTTCATGCTGCAACTGATGTATGAGCTGGAATTACTGCTGTCTATGCACTAGAAGTCTTCCTTCTCCCATCAGTCACTGCAGGTCATCAGTACGCTTCAAGGGGATTAATTCAGAGAGATGTGTGGTTCTGGGGCCGTGTCATTGAAGGTGGAGGAAAAGCGTGCCACATCATTCCAAACCATTACCAGAATGGTCTGAGGGAGGAAAAATATTTTTCCTCAGAATCCTCTAGAACTAGCCCAGTTCCATTAGCTTATACAGGTAGATTTTCAAACCTGCAACTAAAGGAGGCAACCCTCTGTCTACACAGCGTAAGTGTTAGTTTCAGTATTCTCCCACCTCTACTCATCTCAAACTCTAGGACTGCTGAAGAAGTTGAATTGCATGGCACAAGTCCCATGACACTCATTGATGACAAAGAAATCCCAGGCTTGTTGTCCACATGGACACTGAAGTCACCAAGCACTCTTATTAAATACTAGGGTAAATGCACATGCGAGTTCTCTCTCTCGCTCGCTATAAAAAAACCTATTCCTATGGGACAGAGTGACGTCATCATGTCACTATGGCGTCCCCATGGGTTCCGCCTTCCCACGGGCTCCCTGTCCTGGACATTGTTCAGGGATGGCACAACTTGCTCCAGGGCTGCTTGGCCAGCAGGCTCAGGAGAAGCGCCAGGTGCGGGGAGAGGCACCCCGAGTCCCTAGCCGCCCCCAGAGCCCTGCACTGAGCCGCTCCACTGAGACCTAAGCCCAGCCCCCAGACTGCTTGCCTCCCTCCCTCCCGCCCAGCCAGCCAAGAATGGGGCTGCAGCAGCGAGCGGTACATCTGGAAGGCAGGCGAGGAGGTGCCCGGCATCACTGACCTGAGCAGCCTGGACCCCATTTGCCTGGCGCTGCAGCCTCGCCTTCCTTCCTGCCCCGCACAGTCGGAGCACTAGTTCTGGCTTCTGTTGCAGGGGGAAGGGCAGGGAAGGGAGAGAAAGCCCCGAGCCTCACTGTGAGGGGAAGAAGCACCCCCCCCACTGCCCCCAGGCTGGGGGAACAGCCGCGTGCGAGTATGCTCTCTGGAGCCTTTCCCCGAACTCCTACTGGCCAGATTCTGTCTAATGGGAGCAGCGGAAGGCTGAGCATGGGACCAGTGCAGGACCCAAAGACAAGTAAGTACCCCACACTTTCTCAAGTCCAGACCATGCTCCCCACTTCCCCTCCTGATCTTCCCCGGCCAGGCCCCCTGCACCGCCCCCCAGCTCTGCTTTCCAGCAGCCT